AATCAATGGTATGCGCCCATATATTTCCTTTTACTAAGTATTCAAAAATGCTGCCAGTTTAAAAAAAAAGTTTCTTCAGTTTTTATGTAACCAAGTGTTGTCCACGTCCAACTCCACTACCCAACAGCAAGGCAACAACTCAAGAACTATTTCCTGTTTCATACCAAAGTAGGAGTTTTAAAGAAATAGTGCTGAGCTGAAAGCCTTCACATCTATTTGCATTAATGTCACTATAAAGACGATATTTATCACTTTGACAGCAAATATGTTTTAATTCTGTAAATCTCTTAACACATCATGCTAGACACTTACTCAAAAATACCTTGGAGATTAAATTATAATAGGAATAATTATGGCTTTTCAGTCTTTAAGGTGAGTAATTAGTTTGTGTAAGATCTTTGTATATCTAACGTGACAATGAGAAACCCTGACATTTTTCCTCCAACTCCCCATATCATGAGAATCTCACACCAACCCATGCACAGTAGTTCCAACCCGTAGATGTGTTGAAATCTGTTCCTCACAGACAGTCTGGCAAAAACCCAAAATGATTGCAGCACACAAGCTTTCAAAAGCGCAGCAGGAAAGCAAACTCCTCTTTCCAGATCCTCTCACCTCAGCAGCGAGGTAAAGGAGAGCGCCACAGTGGTCGAAATGTACGACATTGAGCAGAATGTGCCCCATCAATGGTATGGCTCTAGTGTGGCCTACTTTACTGAGCTGAGGTATTCAGCGGGGAAATAAAGGAGACACACATGTCGGATAACCAGGACTGCTTTTGGTGGGTGAGAAATGGGAGCAAACGTTTTGAAACTAAGGATGCAACCTAGATAATTCTAATTGTCCTAAAAATGGACACCTGCGTCCCCCACCTCCCTGGCAAGTTTCCCTCATTCGACGGTCCAAAAAGGTGCTTGACAAGCGGCCGAAGAAAAAGGAAAAGGGAAACGGGTGCATTTGTGATAAATCGTGGCCAAAGGTTTCTGTGTCCACAGAACTATGAATCAATGCAGTGGAGCTCAACTTATTCAACAGCAGCTCCCACCTGCCCACACACCAGCTATAAAAATAGCTAACCTACTCAGCTAGACTCCAGGACGAGGGGGCAAGTCCATCAGAATCCTTGTCCTCCGGAAGGGTAAACTCTGTGCAACACCGTGCTTACCGAGCAATAAAAAGAAATGCAGCGGCGACAAACTGGACACCCAGGAAGATCTAAGTGAGGGAGCCAAAGCCCTTTTCTAGTCATACAAATGTTACGCAACATGTTGAAGGCAACTCAAAGCTGCTGTGGTTTTTTGTCTTCTTTTTTTTTTTTTTCTTCTACCCTCCAGACTCCATTAGGTTCCTAAGTGTATGTGAATGCGTCTTGAGCTCTCACATTAGAGATGTAAAGGCCAGAAGCTGCACAAATAATAAAAAGATTAATGAATGTAACATGGAACGGAAGTCCATTCAGAACAATGCTCATGGATAAACAATAGACATCCACTGACAGGGCTTTTATTGGCTGATACCAATTTAAAGTTTTGTCTAATGCTCCCCGCCCAGCCCCGCAATCTCTAGGTCTATAAAATAAATCGCAAGAGTATTCCTTTTGAAGCAACAAAGGATATAAATACTAAAATACACAGAAATGTGTATTTGGGTAAACAAAAAACATGCAAGATCTGCTGACACGCATCTGTTTCATTGTTAAACTGAAAAAGCACATTTTAGATAATGAAAAATATCAGAGTTTCAAGTTTTGTTTTTTTTTCCAGTCTTTGAACTGCCAATGAATTGGTGTAAAAATAATTAACTAAATAATTAACTAAATAACTCCTAGTATTTCCTTATGTACAGAAATCCTGAACATCTTCAATCGCAATAGGTGGGTCTAAATATATCACACATTAAAAGTAAAACAGTTACTTTACCTTTTCTAGTCAACTACAATGCACCTATTGAGCTGGACTGATTGTCATTACTTTTTTATACAGGTGCATCTTGCAATTCCTAGCAATTTATTCTATTTTTTATTTCTACACCAAACTTAGTACGATTTTGCAAGGATTTTCTTGGAGTAGCAGCATAGTACAGAATAAAAATGAATACAATTGCAGGTGAAAGTTGTACTAATAATTATGACTTGGGAAATTACAACAAGTAGATACAGTACAGTTCCAAACTAAAAAGCTGCACAATGTGGCTGAAGTCTTCTTTACTGTTCACCTGAACCAAGTTCTTCCTGTTATCTACTAGAGGCAAAATAGAGAGAAATTATTTTTTGGTAGAAATACTCACCTAAATTTTCTTTAAATCGTGCAATCTTTTATTCAATTGAAGTTGAAACTGATTAATTTGAACGTACAAGATCATTCTGCAATAGTTGAAGCTGCTGAAACTATAAATGACGTGCAAGGAAGCGTATTTTTGACAACTGGCTTAAACACAAACAGAAAATAGTGAGCTCTGCAGCTATTCCTCTGAAGTAATTATTTATTTACTCTGTCAGTCATCAATTTCCTCATTTTCGACATGTGGATTACCATCATCATTGGTTTACACCAATCTCATTTTATTAGATAACATTATAATTAGCATGAACCCTCAATGGCAAACGCAAACCAAATCACAAACTAACCACATTAAAGAAAGGAGTCGTTAGAAACAGAGACATCTAGTGGAAAATGGCGCCTTTTGGTACTTCAAAAAGTTGTAATTAAGTTGATCGAAACTGTAAGGTGACCAAAAGCCTTACAAGCATTATTCAGATTCAAGTAATTTATGTTAAAAGTTCAGAGATTAGTGAAATGAAGGAGATAGCTGCCATTTTGACCATCTACATAGCACAAAATGAGACAAGAGTAGTGCATGACAAAACAACAGTTCACAGTCCTGCACTGTACTATTTTATGCAAAACAAGCAACAACCGCTGCTTGTGTTCGTGATTACCGTTTGAAAATTCTGCAGAGCTAATGTTATCTTTTTATAAAATATTTGTAGAAAATGTTTCATTATAAAGTGAAGCGGTTGCACAAAATGTCTGGCTGCTTTACTGCAATAAAAATGTGTCAGGGTGTTATTGTTATTAGTAGTAGTGCTAATATTTTCCCATCATTTCACTCAATCTTTTATACTCATAATTACACTCAGACTGGCTTGTTTTCAAATTAAATCTGTCAACTACGGTTATTGTAATTTAAATTGTTTAAAAACAGGTCTCTTGCAGAAATCACCTGTAGAAATAAAGCTGAAGTCAAATAAATGACTGCTTCAAAATCATTTATTTGTTTTGCTAATGTAGATGTGTTAAATGGCCAAATATTTAACACACATTAAATATGAGTAACTAAAATCTCACTAAGAACTTCTGAAATTGATTCAACGATAATTTGTTACAGATCCAAAGTGCTGGCATAAAAAAATAAAAAAATAAAAAACAAAGACCTTTTGCTTTTCATTACAACCAACTCCCATTTCTCTACATATTGCTTCACAGCATTTGCTTTTGCAGCAACAGCGAGAGAGCTTTCTTTGTGCAGTAGCTGGTGTTTTTACTGCTGGAAAACAAACAGCCCAACAACTGCTGTACATAAATGAGAAAATTGCTTAACAGCTCAATCTCTATCTGCACCACATGCCTCCTAATGCACCCGGCACGTTGCTTCCAGAGTTGCTACGAATGGTAACAAAAAAATTTCACAAGTTTCTTTTAATAAATGGCAAGACGTGTCACAGGCTAATTACAGTTTGCAGCATGGACACACAGCACACCGAGATTGCTTTGGTATGAGCTCGGAAGACACGAGAAACTCCCTGAATATGCCATTTGAAGTTCAGAGCATGCTAAATATTCTTGAGGCTCTTGCAGCTAAGAAAGTTGCATCACAGTTCATTGCAGGGACAGTCACAAATAAAGAGGTTTGCAGACATGCATTATTTACATGCCGGTCAAGTAAAAGAAACATTTTAAATCCAATGTGCAAGTTGTAAAAAACACAAAACAAAAATAAAAAAAACATGGTTGTTAAATAAGCTAAGAGGAACCTAAAAGAAAATTTGAATTCTCAATATGTCTATTCAGATCCAACAGGTCAGACCTCTCAGAAAATCTGTATTGACCAGAAAACCCATATCACTATATATTTAAATTTATTCTATTTTGAATTACCTGAAATAAAAAAAATACAATATATAAGGATATACATATTAACATGGATAATTATGTAATTACTGTTTTTGGATACAATTAAAAATAACTGCTAACTCCATCAAAGCACACTTTAAAAAAAATCAAATAGGCAGATCAGCACTTTGCATAAAAAACGTACATATGCAAAAACAATTAATCTATCAGGCAGGAAAAGCTCTGTGCATTTCTAACTATCACCCACTTCTAAATGAAAAAGAAATCACAAATGTTAATGACTTGCGCATAAATGGAGAAAGCTATGTCAATTTTTAAATTTTCCATTTTCCAAATTTGACCATAATAACCAATGAAACTTGCAACAGTTTAATCCCTGGTGCAGATGAAATCATTCATCAAGGAGAGGCAAATTGGAAATGATTAATGACTAGTTTTTGGAAAACGTGTGTCTTTACAATTTCAAATTGGTTTTACATTTGTTTATCAAATTATGTATTTCAGTTCAATTGAAACGTTTTTTTTTTTTTGTTTGTTTGTTTGTTTGTTTGTTTTTTGGGGGGTTTTTTTACACGCCTGTGCCCAGGAAACCTTCGTTTCACCATTTGTCCGTGCTTTTTTCGTATACGCCCCTGGGCAATCTAAATGCCTAATGTTTTTTTGTTGCCCCCAACTAATCGGAATTCATGCAGCGCATTTCGGAGGAATCATTAAAAGCCTCCCAGTGAAAACTGCCTTCCAGTTAGCAGCCTGGATAGCATATTTGTTAGCACTGCCAAAAAGGCCGAAGACGGCGAGTCGCCCGCACAGCAAAAAACAAAAACACTGCGAGCGATAACGGTGCTCGGACGTTTTCACGCTACTTACCGAGCAACAGCAGCTTCAGCTCTCTCCTGGAGTCCCGCTTGTCTCGGCGGAGTTGTTTGTCAATTTCTGCATTGATTCGTTTCGACTCCTTCGCCTCCTCGCTCAGGCAGCAAGCCATCATGGACTCCAGAGTCATCCCCCCTGGTTGTGGCAGCCCGGATCAAACGGGACCTGACGAACGCTGGCTCTTCGGTTTCCGTTTCTCCCGAATCCCCGGCCCTCGCTTGGCTCTCAAGGAGGCGGTCAGTCGGACTGGACTGGACTGGACGGACGGACGCACGGATGGATGGATGGTCGGGGCTGGGGGAGGGGAGACTTAGCCAAGGGGCCTCGCTGTCAAGTTGTCCCCCCGGCCGGGAAGAAGCGCGACTTCACCCGGATGTTCCACCGTAAATCACGGGAGATTCAGCTCCTCTGACTGCACAGCTCTGAACACAGCTTAGATATTTTTGTTTTGTTTTTTGGTTCCTAATGGCAGCAACTTAAAGCCCCTTTAGTTTTTTTTTTTTCTGTCACTGCCTTTTCCAATTCAATCTTCACCATCCGTCAAGAGTGGTTCAAACCTGCAGCATCCAACCCGGTGACAGCTGATGTGTCTGCGGTCTCTTCGGCGTTACTCCAACAACATCAGCGCGACCGCCCCTGAATTAGGCCGGAGACAGTCGGGAGTGCTCGCCCTGCTAGCCCGCTAGCTCGCCCAACTAAACAGCGCCTCGGCTAACGTAGTGACAGCCCGCAGTGATTGAAACAGCAGGCTGGTTGAAGGAATTTGTCCGCCTAGCTAAAAACAACAGGACAACACCCAGTTACATCCTGAGTCATCCCGACGGTAAATGACACAGCTCGTGCAACAACAAAAAAATAAAAGTAACGGTAATAACGGAGAAAAAAAAACACTCGTGCCGAACCGGCGGCCCTTGCCGTAAATATGTTCACATCAAACGCCCGTCGCAGGAATAAGGTGGGCACACTCCTGGATGCTGCCAAGCGAGGCGGAGGAGGGAAGCGCGGCGTTGACTGACAGACGGCGGACCGCATGAAACAGGTTTGGGGCAGACCAATTGAATGAGCGAGGCGGGTCTCGGGGGTGGGATTTGTATCCGAGCGCTCCAACTTAACGTCCGTGAGATGCGAAAATTGTCCACAGCGTACATAACCGTCTCATATTATAAATGTAGGACACGTATGGTGTTTGCGAAAATGGAAAAGTATGCATGGAGCACGGAGTTAAAGTGGAACTAGACCCATATTTTAAAGGCAAAAAAACAAACGCACTCTTCCCCCTCCCCCTCGATGTAACCGGAAGGCAAAGGTGTGCTGGAATTGCAGCGACATCTTGAGGCCAGGGGGAAGAATTGCATAAGACTCATTCACAAAATTTGTGGGCTACGCAACAACCAACAATCTGTAAACCGCTTATATTTTATTTGCAATAAATAATACATTTATTGCAACTAAAATATTTGTTTAAAAAAATCATTTTTAATAGCTAAGTAAGCTTCCATGCGAAATGCTGAATTTATAAAACTTAATTTTTTTAATCGCTAATACAAAAAAATAAAAAAGCATGTGCCACTAACTGAAATGCCGTGCAGTCATCTACCTCCAGAAATTGGTTAACTTGTAAACACAATCTAGCCATCTGCCATTTATTCTCAGATTAAATTCAGATGCCACATGAGAGTCTTGAAGGTTTGTTGGAGAACATACAAAATAAAAACCAATTACATCATATTTCACTTTCAAAAAAATACATGAAACCATACGTTATTTTTTGCTTTGCAAATATGCACGTCTTTTAGGTTTTAACATAAAACCCCAAATAAAACCCATTGAAATTTGCAAGGGATTATTATTGTAACTGCATTAATGCACCTGCATTGATCTGGCGGTAGACATCATCTTCAGGTTATTTGTATTTCTGAAAGAAAACAGACTGGACTGAACTGGCCTTAATGGAGGCCACACTGATAACAGACAGACAAGTCAAGGTGCTGTTGTTTAAAGAGAAGATGTTGTCTATGTTCAACATCAAAAAGTGTTTATGCGTTGAATGTACAAGTTCAATAGGTTATATAATTTGCAAAGACAAAATTAATTCACCAGTTAAGAAAGCTGTTTCAGCAGCTAAATTCAGGTTCTTTGCTGTTGGAAATAGTCACAGAAGAGGCCTCGGACCTCCTCAGCATCACTTTGGTCCATGCTGGTAGGAGCCAGGGCTTTGTGGCAGGGCTGGGGGTTCTCTGCCTCACACACCTCCACCTGCCACTCTCCTTTGAAGGCATCTCTGTGGGACTCGCACATGTTGTGCAGAATGCAGCAGGCCAGCATCATGGTGGGCACCACGTCCAGCCCGCAGTCGTTCCTCTTACTCAGGCACTGCCAGCGCGCCCTGAGCCTCAGCAGCGCCTCCTCCGAGGCATGCAGCGCTCTGCTGAGGCGCCGGTTGAACAGCTGCTGCGGCTCCGGCAACGCCGTGCGACATCCCCGTCGGCGCTTCTGCTCCGGATAGGCCTTCATGAGCCAGCTCTGGAGCGGGTAGCAGGCCTCCCCCAGCAACACATACCTGCAGACAGTAGATGGGTTTCAGGCTGAGAATAAAAAAAACACAGCCCTCAGACACAAACAAGTAAACATCTTATATATTCCACTTCTGAGCCTGAGCTGGTCAATCTAAATTCCCTTCATTTCCAACTAATATCTTTCCACACTCTAAAAGCCTCTCTTGCAGTCTCATTTTGCTTATTTTGTAGCAGGAGAGATGGTTTGTGTTTGATTTTATGCTCAATATTCTAAATTCAATTTTCATTACCTTAAATCTTAAAAGTGAATTCTTTAATTTTAACATTTATTTACAGTTCCCCTCCCCCTCACCCCCCATACATATGTTGCTTCTTGCGTCATTTTAGTTATTTTAATTGTCAAAAGTATGATTTCCCAGTTTAAATTTATTTAAAGTTTATCAGTCTACATAGAGTTTGAAATGACGTGTAAGAGAATCTTTGTTTATTGGTTTGGGGATTTTTTTGGGAAGAGGGCGCTGTTGCGGAAAATAACATTGCAAAATGTTTTGAAATATTAAAAAAAATATTTTTTTAGTAATTTGCACAACAGCAGTTTCGTGTTTTGCCACCATGTCTCCAATTGCTGAAAACGCAACATGGTGGTGAGGAAGGAGAAAATGAGTACAACAAAACTAATCAATAATCATTGATATCAACTGTTATGAAGCACTTATATAGTGAAATTAGTTTCTCAACCATGTTTCCAAGCCCTAGATCACATTTTGTGAAAAAATTAAATAAGAAAAAAGAGAAATATCGGTGAAGCAAAAAGACTGAAGGATGATTTTAGCCGATCCACTGTCATCATATGCAGCTTGTTCTGTCATCTGTGACGTGTTACTGGATAGAAGTGTTTGCTTTCTTACTAATTGTACCTAAGTGGTTTCCCCATAAAAACAGGTGTTTGGGCAGGAGACAGTCCACCCTCAGCAGCTGTGGCCCACAGAGCGGAGTTCTGTAAGATCTCAGCTGGATCGGTCCCACCGGGAAAACTGGCACATACATCCCAGAAGTAGCCCTGACCGCTGATAGCAACCTGGGGACAAAGCAAAATAAGTCACAAAAGAAAGTCTAAATCGGATGTAAGCGGGAACGGGAGCCACACAGAGCCACCTGAGACAGGACAGACAGCCAGCCAGCGGGGTTGGCGTAGTCTGACGCGTTGCTCGATGGGGTGATGATGGCCGTGTGAAGCGTTGTGATGGCAGCCACACAGTGAGGAAAGCCCAAATAGGAGTGGAAGACCTGGGCCGATTCCTCCAGCTCCTGCTCGGTGGGGGGACGCAGGTACGTGGAGCTGAGGAGAGCCACGATGGCGTGGCACATGTCTCTGACACATCTGCACACGGTGGACTTCCCCACACCGAACAGGGTGCTGATGGTGCGGTACTCGACGTTGGACGCGAGACGCCACAGGGCCACGGCCACGCGCTTCTCTACCGGCAGCGCCAGCCGGAAGCTTGTGTCCTGGCGCGCCAGGCGGGGCCTCAGCTTCTCGCACAGGTAGAAAAAGGTCTCCCGGCTCATCCGGAATTTGTCCAGCCAATCAGAGGGCTGGAACTCTGTCATCACAACCCTCTCCCACCAGTCGGAGCGGGGAGTGGTTGTCCAGGGTCGGGTGCGGATGCGGACGTTGGAGCGCATTCCTCCCGCTATCATCATCTGTTGGGACAGGCAGAGACAGAAGAGGTAAGAAGAACTGCTTTTGGAAGAAGCTGGAAGTTTCAAGCTTGCTTGTCACCCTCAGAATATTTGGGTCTTCTCAAGACGCAAACATGTACATCAGCTAAATAAGGTAAAGACAAGCTCTAGTCTCCTCTATACAGGTTACCAGTCAACAAGAAAGTGTTTTCTTTGGTTTATTTGGGTATGGCTTCAAAAGTACTTTCCAATATTGTTCACATTAAGCATTTTTCCCATTTAACTTATAAAACAAATAAAGTTTAGTGTATTTTGTCTGGATTTTTTGGGGGAGGGGCTAACCATCCATCCATCCATCCATCTAACACCATTGTCCCTAGGGGGGGTGGGAGGGATGCTGGTGCCTATCTCCAGCTAACGTTCTGGGCGAGAGGCAGGTTAGTACACCCTGGACAGGTCGCCAATCTGTCGCAGGGCAAAGGGACAAACCAACAAAAAGCGATTTATAATTGAATATGAATCAGTGGTTTCAACCCTGAGAAGGTGGGCTGCATGTGTTCAGCCCCTTTACTCCTGCATAAAATCTATTTCCACCTCCTGCCTACACAAGACATCATGTAAGTAAATGGTAAGTGTAATTTACAGCTTCACATGTGAACAAAAGCATCATATGTGTTTGGAATTGTACTGGACCCAATGCCTAGATTTCAGCTCTGGATTTGAGACATTTTAACTAAAACTCGCGTTCAAAGCGCCAATAATTATAGATTATTCCCGAACCGAACCGACTCCCAAAGCACTGACCATGAGCATCCTCCTCTGCCTCTGGAAGAAGTACTGTCGATGTCGGATGCGCCTCTGGATCTCATCGCGCCTCTGAACGTCTGCGTGGTTGAGGTCTCTCTTCCGCTTCAGCAGCATGTAGGTCAGGAGAAACATCAAGGAGCGCTGCTGCTCCTCCTCCTCGTCTCCCATGCTGGATAAATAAACGGGGGAGTTAACTCCGATAAGGCGAGAGCATCTACCAACCTCTCTGAACGGATAGAGTCCTGACAACCAAGCTATGACGTTTACTTCCGCCTTTGCGTCCAATGTTTGTTTCTAAACGGTGCTGCCATCTGGTGGCCATACATAGTCACTGCGTCTGTAGGTCAAAAATCGAGCAAAGTCCAATTATGTTTTTATTGATAATAAAACGGACTTTACAAAGTTATACGATCCTCCAAAATACAGTAAAACTGACACTGTAGCCACAGAAAGAGGTTTATGCAAATGCTGTTCGTTGTTGCTTTAACAGTTTTTTAAAAAATGTTGTTCCTTTGTGTTATGTTGAATTTCCAATTAATTTCATACTCTCTTCTCAGACCTACATTTCTAGTGACGCAAAGATTTGGTAGAAGGTTCCAGACACGTTGGGTTGTTTTTAGAATATAATTAACATCCCCATTTTTTGACACAGTTGGTTGCAATAGAGAACCTGAATGGAGAATGTTTTGATCCCCCTCCTGGTCCATGCCAATGCTCTTGGGAGGATCGAGTGCAAGTTCACAAGTTTGGATGAAAAGAAACCTCTAAATGAGGTTGGCTACTTCAATGCCTACGAAACAAAAAAAAATATCTTCCTGTCTTTTCTTTCAGATAATATTGCTTAGCTAACCTTACTGAAGGATCTGTGCATGCATGAAAGGTCTGAGACACAAATCATCAGAAGGGCTTTCAACAGCGGGTGTAACTAAATTTTAGGAGGCAGCCATATTAAATTTTGATAGTGACATTGGAGAGACACCTCAGCCTGCCAAAATAGGAACCCTGATTGATATTTCTGTTACTTTTCCAATTTGGAAATACAGGACTTCTGAGAAATAATGACCTGCCTGTTTAATTAAATCACATCCCTTAAAAAAAAAGCATGCTGCAGCAATAAATAAGGTTTTTTTTTTCCTTTCCTTTTTGTTTTTAATGATGTAACTAACAAATCAAAGGCTTGTTCTACTATTTCAAAATGTCTCTCCCTAAAATAATCTGTGATCTAGACACTAAGAGAGTAATTACACTTGCAGATTTATGTGTGTTTTTTCATTAAAAACTGTTTCCAAAGATGAATACTTATAGGAGCTGATTTGCTAAAATATCAGAAATCACCAAAAGTGTTTACTGTGGTTACTGAGTTTATTGTTAGTGTTAAGGAGTTTTCAGATGTGTGTTAGAGATGAATACAATCTAACGATTGTTTATTGCTGTACATTCATGTCATCTAAGCTCCTCTAGGACACAACTTTTACACGAGCGATGAACAGGTCTGCGGCTGCGTTTTCAAACTCTTTTGCGTCCATGTTGCCACCGGGCCCCTGGGTCTGGGCTCCGGCCATGGCCTGTGCCAGTTTGTGCGGGGAGATCTTGGCGCTGGCCTCCAAGTAGCGGATAGCCTTCGCATTTGCTTCCAAACTAGCACTAGATTTAGCGTTGGCATTGACGAAGCAGTTTGCGTCACAGTCCTGGGAGGTCTCGAGCGCTTCCTTTAAGGTCCCGAGCACCGCGGAGCACAGCGCCCTGGAGGCGGGCCCCTCATCGGGGCAGCACACCTCGGCGTAAAGCCTCTGAGCCTGCCGGATGTAGTCCGAGAAAACAGCGCAGGTGAGCACGCCATGACGGAAGACGTCGTAAGGGACAGCTTCGTGGTCCTGGCAACAGAGGCGTCGTAGGAGCGGGGCGGAGGTCGAGGCAGGGACGCCGCCTTCACTGCAGAGGCACTCCAGAGTCTGCGTGTAGAGGCCTCCTTTTACGCCCACGCTGCCCTCTGCGTCCGGAGGGACGTCAAGGCAGGAGCCATCTGGGCCCTCCGGATTCTCACTCGCCTGCCTTAGACACCCGTTAAGGTTCAGGAGGTCGTAGGCCACACGGACGTTGTTGCTGAAAGCTGATCTAAAATACAAACAAAATGTAGAAAAATGTCTTTTTTTTTTAGTTTACAGCAGCTACAGAAAATCAATAATCTCGGAGACAAATAAGAGCAGGGATATTTTTTTTATAGCTGGGTGAACAATCAAGTGCTTTGGTCTGTCTGACAAAAGTGCTAAAATGTCTTACTGAAAAAAATAGCATTGTAAGCTCAGTAAACAGATATTTTCAAAGACATTACTGACAGTATAACTTATTATACTGATTTCATCATGAAATTGTTGGGGTGATAATACAGTATTCCTACAAAATAAAACTCCTTGAACTTTTTTACATTTTTCTCACCTTACACCCAAGAGCTTCAATTACGATTTTATGTGAAAGACCAACACAAAACTGTCTCGTTGTAAAGTAGAAGATAAAGTAAACATGTTTTTTTTTTTTAAATAAATAATACACAATAAGTATTGTATTGCTGCCACCACAATATTTACTGCTGCGGTGGGGTGTTCATGGTGCAGTGTTTGCTTTCCCCCCAAATTTGCATGCAGGTCAAGCATCTTATTTCATCATCTGTGTGGTGTTCTTATGACGTAAAGGACTTTGAACTGACTTGTTGCTGAAAAAGTGCTCTAAGCAAATGAACTTGACTTGAGTCATGAGCTCCTTCTTTTACTGTTTCCAAATAAACACATAAAAATATTGAGAACTAATAATATAAATATATTTTTGCATTGATCAATCGCATAAAGTCATACTTTGGAATATGTTTCTGTGAAATGAATACATTTGAAAAAAAAAATTGTCGATACATTTTTAATTGTTTCTAAATCAGCTAATGAAGCCTGACAAATAGTAATCCTGCTGACAAATGCTGGCGTCTACGGGCGCCTAAAAGTGAGAGCTAAAATCCGCCCCCACCTCTGAGAGTGATGCGCCAGCCGCAGGTGCCACAGCGCCCTGTTAAGACGCTGCTGCTCTTGTGCGCCTGCGCCCGCCAGGCCGGTGATCTGCTGCGGCTGCTGCTGGTCCTCATCCGCGCATCCAGCCGTCCCGCTGTCCGTAACCGAGGCCAGGTTGCAGAAGTGGTCGGCCAGGAACCCGATGGGATCATCCGACCTGGCCTCGACCATCTTCAGGATGGCCCCGCGGAGCAGGTCCCCGACGCCGGCCTGCTCCAGGAACTCCCTGTCGCTGTCCGATTTGGCGACTTTGCCCGAGGACGTCCCCGGAGGAAGAGCCGCAGACCGGCGCTTCTCCTTGTCAGCCATCGCTGTTGACGTCCCGTGTCGCAGCAACGGCAGCGGAAGTGATGGAGCACCGGTCGGGAAGCAGGAAGCAGTGCGTCATACAATAATAGCGCACTGTTGAAATTGGTCAGGATAATGACAGTAAAGAGCAATAAATTTGGATAGATAGATAGATAGATAGATAGATAGATAGATAGATAGATAGATAGATAGATAGATAGATAGATAGATAGATAGATAGATAGATAGATATAGATAGATAGATAGATAGATAGATAGATAGATAGATAGATAGATAGATAGATAGATAGATAGATAGATAGATAGATAGATAGATAGATAGATAGATAGATAGATAGATAGATAGATAGATAGATAGATGGGTTTTGCAAAAGCCAAACTGAGTTATAAAAATCTATAGTTCATAAAAATGATTCAGGCTAAACTTTATGGTTGTATTAATGATCTTAGAAAAACTGTTTAAAAATAGTACTCCATCTTTAGCTCTCCATTAAGTTTTTATGAATCTCAAATCTTTTTTTAAAGGGTAGAAGGGTAACATGTATTTTCTAAACAGTTGTTATAAAAAACTGTATTAAATATGATTTAAAAGAAATTTTACTTCATAGTTTGACTGTTTGAAATATGCCTCTGTCACTTTAAGAAGCTCCTGCTCTTCTTTGTGGAAATAGGCAGCCTTTAGGTACCCTTTGAATGGTTGCCATGGGAGATTCAAGGATTTCTGAAATATGCATGAAAGAAAGAAAGCAACATTCTGAGTATGTGTGCTTTTGATTCTTGTTCAATTCAAACACATTTGGTGATTAAATGGGATATTTGGCTGTTTCCTTAATCATGTGATAGAAGGATTTAAGTGGCAGGAAACAGGTTGTCTTTTCATTATAGAGATATGAGAAATAAAATTTTCCTTTAACTTTGAACATTTGAGGTCGAGAAGCTGTAAGATTTTTTTTATTACACACCTGTTTTTATAGAGAGCAAAAGTGCAACTATGCAACAATTTGTCACAATAAAAACACATTCATTATTTAAATTAGTATGGATTTTAGTTGTTGGACCAATAAAACATAATGTATAATTGTTAATGATTAAATATTATATTAAAGTCTAAAAAAGTGTAGCTTGCATGTTTATCACATTTATTGAAACTTAAATAAAATCCAGAGCAAAAATTGCTGACTTTGCTCATTCAGTACAGCCTGTCTGTTAAAAGATTTCACCAAACATGAGATACCAGATAAATTCAACCTAAAAACTCTAATTTTATTGAAAAATACTACATTTCACACAAAACCTTTGAAAATTCAGCAATGCATCAGAAACAAGATGTGAACACAAAACCAGTGAATGCAACATTCCCTCTTTTCAACACTATAAGCCATCTATTCAGGTAGAAGCAATACAGAAGCTATATCAAACATCTGTTTTTCAGAAAACGTACATTTGTGCTTTAACATTCTAAATATGAAAACCTACTTCAATTAAAACATGGTAAACAGCATTACATAATTTACAAACAGTGAAATGGTAAAAAGGTGAGGTACACAAAAGCCTTGGTCAGTAACTGTGTGTGGTTTCCACACATTTCTAAACAACTGTGGTCTCTACCTTCAAGCAGATTCAGCAAATTCCTTTTTATATTTGGATCAAAATTTGATCAATTGGGGTGTTTGTTCATCTCAAACACTTTGTTAAACGTTGCAGCAGTCCGTTTTGGGCTTCAGTGGAACGTCTGCTGTTACATAGCACAAGCCATGTCGCTCTCGTGTGTGTAGATGCCGTTTTTCAGCAGTACAGGGGTATGGTTCCCATTGGCGAGGGCGGCTTCTTTTAGTATGGCCACGTCGTTGTTGATGTAGGTTGAGTGCGTCGTCAGGAAGTTCCTCTGCAGCTTGTGCTCCAG